GTATGTGTGTATGTGCATGCGGGCTTGTGTGTATGATTTGTGTGCGTGCGCGCGCCCCTGTGGCGGAGCGCGCGCGGCGCGGGCGGTGGCCTCGCTGCCCAGAGAGCCACGGCAGTGAAAAAACAGCAGTCAAGCAGTGGCGAAGCGTCCCGGCTCGCCTATAGCCCCACCAAGCAATGTTCTAAGAACCTCTTGTGGTTCCCACGGAATGTTCTTAGAACATTTCTGGCTGGGACTGTCTTGTTTTAACACATCGGGTCTCTGTTCTAAGAACATTGATTTGTTTAGAACATTTTTGGGTTCTAAGAACACTTCGTGGTATGACTATAGGAATGCCGGGACGGTCGGTCCCTGCTCAAAGCAGGGCGTTTTTTCCCCCAGATTTCGGCCCCTGGGGGCCCTCGCCGCGCATCGGGACCGTCAGAAAACGGCTCAGGATGAAACGCCGGTCCTGGGGAATGCGGAATGGGTCGAGACTTCCGGGGGCCCCGCACTGAGAAAGTCACGACATCGGATCTCTGGTTTCGTTTCCCTCCCACACATGGCGCCCTTCTGGATCCAGGTGAGGCGGTCGAGCCGGACGATCGAACAAAGCACGCCGATGCAGGTTTTTTGCGTCGGTGTCGGGTCAGTGTGTCGTCCCTTGCGGGGCCCCATGGGCCAAGCTGGCTGCTGACGATGTGCATGCAGGAAGCTGCGGGAGCATTGCCCTGACACCTGCGCCCCCCTCTTCCCTGCCTCCTCTCTTCCCGCCTCCCCTCCTGGTTGCCGCCGCCGTCGTGGTCGCCGTCGTCGCCGTCGGGGTCGCCGTCGCCCTCGCCGTCGCCGCCTCCGCCTCGCTGCCGGGAGCCCACAATGGCACCCCCCATTCCCGGCCGCCACGGGGGCGAGGCCGACTCGTCGTACGGGTGCCGCGACTGGGGGCGGGATCCTGGAGGTCGGCCCAGGCTCGGGCGCCACCCGGGGCGGTCGCCGACATCCTGGTCCCCGCACCCCGCCCTGCCAGGCATTCCCGCGGGTGCCGCCGTCGGGGGTCACTCTTCGGCGGCGCGCCCAGGGGGGGAGTGGGAGGGGGGCAGGCCTGCGGGCACTCTCGAGACGGCGGCGGAGCTTCTCGGAAGCCTCCCGGCCGTGCGAGGAGTTTTCTGTGCCTTCGGGGGCGGCTCAGACGACCTCTCTCTCAGAAGGCCCGCCCCCTCTGGCTTCCCCCCTGGGCGCGCCGCCAAAGTTTGGGACATCACGGGGCGCCCCTGGCGTGCCCTCCCTGCCACGCAGGTGGAGGCCAGCCACGCGGCGGGGAAGCAGATGCAGCAAGAGGTCGAGCGCGACTGGAACAGGCGCGGGCCTGGCTTCGTGGCGGCGGCAGCGGCGGCGGGCAATACCATTTTGCAGGACAGTGCGGAGGAGGAGGGGGAGGAGGAAATTAAAGACATATCGCCTGCATACGTAAACAGAATGTTCGGAGCTCCGTTTGGATTTCTCGGATCGGCTCTGGGCCCCCCTGGGCAGCGCCTCCTGCGCCGCCCAGCGCGGATCCAATAAAGTCAAGCAGTGGCGAAGCGTCCTGATTTGCTTGTGGCTCCACCAAATAATGTACTAAGAACCTCTTGTGGTTTGCACGAAATGGTAAACCGTTTCTGGCTGAGACCTTTTTGTTGCAGTACATGGGCGTTACGTTATAAGGACATTGTTGTTGTTGTTGATGTTGCTGCTCGTGGTGTTGTTGATGTTGTTTGTGGTGATGGTGGTGGTGGTGTTGGTGCTGTTGTTGTTGGTATTGTTGTTGGTGGTGGTGTTGCTGTTGTTGGTGCTGGTGGTGCTGTTGGTGGTGTTGCCGTTGTTGTAAGTGTTTGTGTTGGTGTTAATGGTGGTGGTCTTGGCATTGCTGTTGTTATTGTTGTTGCTGCTGCTGTTGCTGTCGCTGCTGTTGTGGGTGGTGGTGTTGGTGGTGTTGTTGTTATTGGAGCATCGCCTTGTTCTCGAGAATGTCGTGGTAGACCTACAGGAGTGCCAGGACGGCCGGTGCTTGCTCAAGAAATCCGCGCGGAGCTCCGAACGCTTGATCATGCTTGTGTCATGTTTCTTTCCATGGGAAGTGCAAAGGAGAGGAGGAGGAGGAGAAGGAGGAAGAGGTGGAGGAGGAGGAGGAGAAAGAGGAGGAGGACCGAGGACCAGGAGGAGGAGAATTGTGGCGGAGGAGAACGTATGAGGGCTGAGGGTTCGTCGTCGACGACGAACACGACGACGACGACGACGACGGCACGGCGACGGCGACGAAGACAAACCCGACGAACACGCCGACGAGGACGTCGACGAGAGGATTTCCCCTGACGTGGCTCTCCTGGGGTCAGTCGCTAATCGAGCCGGGGTGAAACATTGGCGGTGATGCACCCCCGAGGGGGTTTGATGGTCTTCGTTGATTTGGGCGTCGGCGACGAGGAAGGAGAAGGGCCTCCTCCTCCTCGTCATCCTCGTTCCTCTGGATCCTCCATTATATCAT